GGCGACAGAGTGAGACTCCAACTCAAAAAAAAAAAAAAAAAAATTTTAAATAGCAATAATATAAATACACATGACACAATTATCTACAGACAACTTTGGGTTTTTTGTCACGGGGGTTGGTTTTGTTTTTGAATCAGAGTCTCACTTTACTACCACACCCAGCTAATTTTTTTATCTTTATAGACACAGTCTCACTATGTTGCCCAGGCTATTCCCACACTCCTGGGCTCAAGTGATCCTCCCACCTCAGCCTCCCAAAATGCTGGGATTACAGGAGTGAGCCACCATGCCCAGCCAGACAACTTTGAAACTGTGGTGTACTGTGATGCTGATGAACAGTTACTTGGTGTCATTCTACCCATATGCTGACCTGGATGAGAGTGTCCAATTTTTTGTTGGCTTCTCCCATGACTAGGGAAGTGAATTTTTTATTTTTTATATAAATGATGGTTTAAGAAGAAAGCTGGTCACTCTTTGAACAAAAGAATTTTTGTCAACATAAATCACATACTTTTACTTGTAATTTTCTTGAACAGTTCCAGAACTGAAAACTTAGTTCAGTTCAAACATTACTTATAATCTCGAGGGCAGGGACTGTCTGTGTCCCCTGAGAGTTGATTTTTTGTGTATTGCTTGTGGAGTACATGAAAGACATTTTGACCCTCATCCTTTCATCCCCTCCAAAATGATCAGTTTCCTAACTTCAGCATCCATGATAAATGTGACTTCATTTCCCATGGTATTCCATGCTGTCCTTGGGTAAATTAACAAACATCCCTATAGAGTTTACTAGTCTTGCCTTTCCTGCTTTTTCTATGATGTATATTGAGGAGTTTCTTGTTTTGTTTTCCTCAATAACTACCTGGTATTTATTGCATAAATTACAGTACTTACATTGTATATGACTACTGTATAATTAATAAGTATGCAAGAACAGGTTTTTTAACAGTTTTATTGAGATAACTCATGTCACTGATTTACACCCATCTAAAATGTACAATTTGGGCTGAGCTCGGTGGCTCAATTTGTAATCCCAGCACTTTGGGAGACCGAGGTGAGTGGATTGCCTGAGTCCGTGGGTTCGAGACCTGCCTGGGCAACTTGGCGAGACCTCATCTCTACAATAAATCAAAAAATCAGCCAGGCATGGTAGTGCATGCCTGTAGTTCCAGCTACTTGGAAGGCTGAGGCGGAAGGATTGCCGGAGCCCAGCAGGTCGAGACTGCAGTGGCCTGGAGCGGCCATTGCACTCCAGTCTGGGCGACAGAGTGAGACTCCAACTAAAATAAAATAAAATAAAATAAATGTACAATTCAGTGGTTTTTAGTGTATTCACAGAAGTGTGAACCATTACATAATCAATTTAGAACATTTTCATCACAATAACAAGGGTTTTCATTTCATCTTAACTTTTTTTCCCTTAGAGACAGTCTCACTATGTTGCCCAGGCTGGACTAGAACTCCTGGGCTCAAATGATCCTCTTGCCTCAGCCTCCCTAGTAGCTAGGACTACAGATGTGGGCCACCACACCCGACTGAATCTTATTTTTTTTTAAGTTCTTTTTTTCTTGTTTTTGTTGTTGTTGTTTGAGTCAGATTTTCACTCTGTCATCCAGGCTAGAGTGCAGAGGCGCACTCACAGCCACCACAGCCTCAACCGGCTGGGTTCAGGTGGCCTTCCACTTCAGCCTTCTAAGTACCTGGAATTATAGGTGTGAGCCACCACACCCAGCTATTTTTTTTTTTTAATTATTGTGGAGACGAGGTCTCCCCCAGGCTGGTCTCAAACCCTTGGACTCAAGCAATTCTGTCACCTCCACAAAGTGTTGGGATTACAGGTGTGAGCCTCCATGCCCAATTTGTTTCTTGTTTTTACTGAGCTTTGTTGTTCACAGAACACTTCTTAAATATGAGTTTTCCTGCCGGGCTCGGTGGCTCAGCCTGTAATCCCGCGCCTTGGGAGGCTGAGGTGAGTGGATTGCCTGAGCCCGCGGGTTCGAGACCCGCCTGGGCAGCGAGACCTCATCTCTACAATAAATCAAAAAATCAGCCGGGCGTGGTAGCGCATGCCTGTAATTCCGGCTACTCGGAAGGCTGAGGTGGAAGGATCGCCAGAGCCCAGCAAGCGAGGCTGCGGTGGCCGGGAGCGGCCACTGCACTCCAGTCTGGGCGACTGAGTGAGACTCTAACTCAGAAAAAAAAAAAAAATATGAGTTTTCCCATTTGCTCACAACCTTGTAACATACACAGGATAAATTCAGGAATTTATTATGTCATTGTTTAAACTGAATTGGACACTTACCCAATAAACTTTTTAGATTTTTTTCCTGGCATTAAGGGATTTATTAATTTTTTTAAATGGCTTTTTAAAAATGTACAAATTAAGGCCTGGTATGCTGGCCACACGTGTAATCTCAGCACTTTGAGAGGCAAAGGCAGGAGAATTACTTGAGGCCAGGAGTTCAAGACCAGCCTATGCAACATAGTGAGATTCCCTGTTTACAAAAATAAAAAAATTTTTGCCTGCCAGTAATATCTTGTTTCCCAAAAAAAGCTATTTCTAAAATGTACAAATTATAAACTTTTGTTTTTGTTTTTTTCTTTTGTTTGTTTCTTTTTTGAGTTGGAGTCTCACTCTGTCACCCAGACTGGAGTGCAATGGCCACTCCCGGCCACCACAGCCTCGACCTGCTGGGCTCTGGAGATCCTTCCGCCTCAGCCTTCCGAGTAGCTGGAATTACAGACGCGCGATACCATGCCCGGCTGATTTTTTGATTTATTGTAGAGATGAGGTCTTGCTGCCCAGGCAGGTCTCAAACCCGTGGGCTCAGGCAATCCACTCACCTCAGCCTCCCAAAG